CATTTCACCCCGTCGACTGGTTTTATTTCTCGGTTCGTTATTTTATTTTGTTCGTTTTCTTTTCTGTTTCTTTTTCCTCTTTGAACCCGACAAACGATACAGGAGATTCAGGCGAGCTGTACGGACGTCTGCGAGAGCTGCCAGAAGAAAGTCTACCCCCTGGAGAAAGTGGAGACGAATAATAAAATCTTCCACAAACAGTGTTTCCGGTGTCTGCAGTGCAATTGCGTGTTGAGGTAAACCACCCACTTTGTTATCGCTGGACAGCGCGGATTTTATGGATTTGTAGCGAAATTCGGTACGGTAAATTCTCGCTAATTCTTCTTTCCTTCGGCTTGTGAACAAGAATGGACAATTTGGGAAGAGGAGACAGGATTATTCGAGGCTTGCGGCGCGTTTTTATAGTTACCGATTGTCAACCATTATAAAAACAAGGTGCAAGGTTCGAATAATCGTATCCCAAATTGTCCATTTTTGTTTACAAGCTGCAGGAAAATTAGGGAGACAAGGTAGAAAAATTAGGAGACAATGGTAGAATGATAGTTGTAGTTGCAATTTAATGTAGTAGACGGACGAAGGTAATTAAAAAATGTCCATGCTATTATATGATTAAAGAAAGAAAGAATTTTCCATTTAGTTTCTATATCTTATGTAGAGACAATTTATATTTTGCATAAAAATCCGCGGTCTAGTTATCATTAAACCGCGGATTCTTGTGCACACGATCGGACGTCAAAAAATACGCTTGTAATTTGTTCTTGTTATTCGCGTTACATTCAGCTGAATTACTCTTGCAATGTATTTCCTAACGCAGCAAAAAAGACCGGAATTTTTGCTTATTAGCGAAACATTCAGCTGAATTATTGGTGCAACATATTTCTCAACGTAGCGAAGAAATACACTGCATAGAACAGCACTATAATTTTTGCTTATTATCAGCGGACTATTCAGCTTAATTAGTGGTACAATACATTTCCTAATACAAAGAAAAAAAAATACAATAATTTTTGCTTATCATTCGTGAAATATTCAGTTGAATTATCGGTACAATTTCCTGGCACAGAAATACGTTCAACTTTTGCTTGTTATTCGTGAAACATACGACTTAATTATTGCTGAAATATATTATATACAAAGAAATTAAAAAGTTCACAATCGATTCCGTACGTTCTCCAATTAATTGCGAATAGGTTCGCATACTTTCAAACAGCAGCGGCACGCGCTTCTCGCAATCAATTCGGAAGATCTTCAGTTCGTCTCGCAGAGATCCGCGATCCGATTATTTTTCGATCGGAGGAGGCACGCATGTCTGCTAATGATCCTTTGTTTTCCGACCAGGATGGACACGTTCACCTTGAACAACGGTAAACTGTACTGCATCCCGCACTTCAAGCAGCTGTTCATCACGCGGGGAAACTACGACGAGGGGTTCGGCGTGGATCCGCACAAGAACAAATGGACGACGAGCGCGAACAACCCGACGAGTCCGGCGCCGATCGCGGTCTCGAACGGCGATCTTTGAACGTGATCGTTGATTCGCCGATGAGCGAGGACAATGGCACGCCAGATCCGGCCTGTGTATCGTCGACGAGTTAAAAAAAAACCGGTCGCCGGTCGGGGACTAAACCCATGGAAAATCGTTCTAGTTCTCCAAAGACCGCCCACAGCTAAAAAGAAACCCGCGGGCCTTGTTGCGGAATCGATCGATCGATCCACTAAATTGCGTTCCAATGAAACCTCTGTCCCCTTGAATCCCGACCCTCCCCCTCAGCCGAAGCTTCGAATGGGCCGTGTCGATCGGAAATCGACGAGAATGGACAATCGCGACTGAATATAGGACAACATTCCCCCTCTTTCGTCCTGCTCTCCCTGTCCTTTTTATTAAATATTTTATTTCTTTACCTCTAGACCCTATTTTTGCCAATGCCCCATCATAAATGTCGCTTAAATGTTTGTTATAATTATTATTATTACTATTTTTATTATTATTATTATTATTATTATTATTTTTTACTTGTATAACTCTTGGTATTAGTTTATCACACGTGTTGTATAATACAGAATTTCATTGCGCTTTATAAATCAATGGTGTACCGACGTTTTTTATTCATCCGATTGCTCGATCCTCTGCGATCAAGAATCGGCTCTGGAATAGGATTACACCGATTACACTTAATCCAGACATTGGAGAGAGTATAAATTAATTCCTATGCTAAAAATCAGATGTTACGATTACGATTTTTTTCTGATTGCCGAGTTTCTTTTCCTACGTGATATTTAAACAAAAAGAATTGGTTAAATTATAATAAATGAGAATAGATTTAAAAATCGTCAGTTTCTCATATAAATGCGTGAAGACTATTATTATATTATTATTCTTCGAAGAAATAAATGGTAGAGCATTGTTCGTTAATCGATGCGATCAAGCAGTAAGTTAATTTAATAAGATTTTAATAGGATTTTAGTAAGATTTTAATAAGAATTTAATAAGACTTTAATCAGTTAATTTAATAAGAGAAAATGTCGAGAACGATTTTATCCTCGGCGTATTTAACGTCGACGACTCTGTCAAGATGGCGGCTCGATCGCCTCAGTCCGCCATCTTCAGTGCCATGTGCGCTCCAGCCGATTGATTTTCACTTCGTTTTCTTTCGTTCGTGCTTATCAGTTAATTACCAGATAACGTATCACGATTGAAAGTCGACTCGAACTTCATTAAGAGTGTTTCGAAGGAAATACTCGGTTCGTGAAATCATTTCGAACATCCAACTCTTGGGCCATTAACTCAGTCGGTGGCTTAGTAACGAAATACTAGTGACTTTTTCTTTTTCCATAGTCGATCTGAACGATTGGCAATCTTCTCCACAACTTCCGTTGTTTGAATCTTCGACGGAAGATTTCTCTAACTTTGTCGTGCAACGTCGTAAGTACATCTGCCGCAATATCATGTTAAAAACGCATCACCGTTAATCATTAATCAAATATTATCCCCATGATCGTTAATTATCAATTATTTATATTCATACTTCCATAATCGTTAATTTTGTTAATTAAACGTTCCCACGATTGCGCTATAAGAATCTTGTTACAAAGAACAACCGCGAGAGAAACGACTAGATCACCGGTGACAAATCTCGATTAAACAGCTCCATAAAATCAACGAAATTTCACTGTCTCGTAAAATAATTAGCTAACACGAAAAGGGGCTATAAAATGTGTTCATCGCACCGTGAAACGTTCCAGATGGAAATTTGCGTGGACTCGCTAGAATCTGCGAGGAATGCCATAAATGGCGGGGCGAAGCGTCTCGAAGTCTGCGCGGCGCTCTCCGAGGGTGGTTTAACCCCCAGCCCGGGCCTAATCAAGAAGATCAGGAGCTTCTCGCCGATACCGATCTACGCGATGCTGCGTCTTCGCGCCGGGAACTTCGTGTACACCGACGACGACATGGAGGTGATGCTGGACGACCTGAAAGTCCTGAAAGAAAACGGCGCGACCGGGTTCGTCTTCGGGGCGCTGACCTTGAACAACGAAATCAACGTGGAATACTGCAAGGAGATCCTCTCCCACGCCAGCCCCGCGCCGTTCACCTTTCACCGTGCTTTCGACGAGGTCGTCGACCCGCTGAGCTCGCTGGAGACGCTGATAGGCCTCGGCTTCGAGAGGATACTGACTTCTGGCCAGAAGGACACCGCCGAGGAAGGCTTGGAGACGATAAAGACGCTGGTCCGCCAAGCCGACGGTAGGATCGCGATTATGCCAGGCTCTGGCGTCACCAGAAACAACATCTCGAAGATCAAGACAGCAACCGGAGCCCTCGAATTCCACGCGTCGGCTAAGAAGAGGGTGGCCGCTTCCGGCGGCAATCGAATCAAGATCGGAGCCGATAAAGCGAGCTTTGTTATGGTTGCCGACTCCGATCTGGTGCGAGACATGGTCTTGATTGTAACCGAGTAATTGTGTCGAGACGATTTGGGAGCTGCGTGCAGGGAACAGATTTTCAAAAGTAAAAGTTTCTGGGCAGTTCATCTTAGAATTGGGCCGACGAGAAAACAGTTTTTTCAGTTAATTAGCGTTCTTATTCATTCTTATTAATCTAATTAGTGTTCTATGGCGTTTTTCAGCCTTTCCGGAGATGTTTTAGCGAAGAAACCGCACACACCTTTTCATACAATCGATATCAAGTTCTCTAAACTTTAAGAAATCAGACCGAAGGATTCGCGGGCGTATTTTGTTATTTTTTATTTACTATATCCTCGAAGAAGATGTAGAAAGAAAATTCATACTGCATCACCCCTTTAAATAGAGCATACGGGTCACGGGGGGGATGCAGCGAAAGCCGACTCGTTAGCTTCCCCGACGATTAGTATGCGGGCAGAAGGACTCCGGGATCATTTCATCGAGTCATCGAATGATTGTACTACTCGGTCCCCGCGCCGCGGAACAGCCAATCTCCTCTCATGCATAATTTCTGGCACGCAACTGGGATGCCATTTACGCGGGCGCGTCGCGAAGCCATCGCGATTTGAGCGCGAACGATGGTAACGTTCGCTGGTCTCATCGGCGCGCGACCGAACGATGCAATTTATCGCATCTCCGCGATGACACCGCAGTATGCCCGTGAAAAAATTCCGCTCCAATTACAGTCGACGGGGCTTTTCGTTCGCGGAACGATGCGGTGTTTCGCGTGGAAAAAACTCTCCTCGCTGTGTTCCCTTTCGTTGTTCCGATTAATTCAGCTGGATCGTTTTCACTCCAATTTTCCTCGCAACTTCCTTTTCTACGGCTTTCCAAATTGCTAATCGCCACTTTCTTCGGTTCTGCTCGGATTTCGTTCGAACAACCAAGCCGCGAAACCTTAATTACGCGAAACATTCCGCCGGGTTGGCGATCATGCGCGGCTGCGGCGGTTTCTTTTCGCGTCCGACGAAAGTCGTACGCAACGGCACGCGTTCCTCTCGCGATTTATATCTCGATCGTGCTATTTAAAGCTCGCGGTTCATCCGACGCAGCGTTCGCTCGCTGTGGAAGATTTTACTACGGTTTTCCTTTCCTTTTTTCTCTTTTCGTCGCTCCGGCAGAGAACTACGATTCGCGCGGCGGCTTTCTTTCGCTTACGCGGCTACGAATACGAATTTTCGAAAACTCGGATGAATCACGGCGAGACAATAATTTCGCCGGTCGGACGAAATACGGTGTGCCAGTTTTCGGTGGTCCAGTTCAGACGTTTTCGCTCTGCTGGAATAATTTCTAGGACAAAAACCGATGGCCCTCGTTGATCCCGTTTATAAATTCTTTCTCTCCGTCCGATGCATTGTTCTGCTAATTTGAAATTTGCACGACAAAATCGGCGCAAGCAGATGAACGAAGAACGTTCCAACGCAGCGATTAGGATCGCTCTGTTCGAATATGCAACTATTTAAATTGGATTTGTAGCTGCCTAGAAAACTGTGTTCAACGCGTGCTCAAAATTGCACGCTATTCAATCCTGTGCATTGCAGTCGCATGTGACAGGGCTTTCTAAAGATAGCCGAACATCTTCAGCAGCACGAATGTAAATCAACATGAAAGCGACATTCAATTACGAAAGAGTTCTCACATAAACCCCATTGTTTATATTAACTCTCCCTGCGGTCGTAAATGAACGTAAAAATCTGCTACAACAGCATACCGCGCGCGTTCTCAATTCTTTATCCTCCGACTGTTGAAACCATAATAATACCTTCGTTGGAAATCGTTCGATAAACTGATTTGCTCGATGCAACATCGCCTCCGCGAAAATTTCTGTATAATTATTGCGATAATCTGCGATCGATCAAATGTAGGCAGTCATTATGCGAGATAAAATTTATCACAAACGATGTTCCGAAATGATTTCCCTCGTTTCCGACCTTCCGCAAAATCGTACGCGTCCATTTCCCCGAAGTTCTCGGCCCTTTTCTGAAGAAATGAACCCAATTACTCGCAACCGCAAAAAAACTTGCAATTCAAGCAATCGTAATTTTGCACAACGGTCCGTGGTATTCGCAACGTAAAGATCGCTGCGTTCGCGAAAATTAGCAGAACAACGGCTAATAATAATAATTATGTCGCGAAGTCTTCGAACCGGAAGCGATCGGGCAGGGACCGCGGAGCCACGCCGTTCGCAAATCGCCGATCGACGGACATTGCGCGTGTCGCAACGGATCGGCCAATTTCGAATTGCAATCGCTTGCACAATCACGCGGGCCCGTCGCACGCGGAAGATGACGGCACTGCGGCCCGAGCGCGCAGTCACTTTCGATTTGCGACACACGCGGCTCTTCTGTGTCGGCTGTCGTGGAAAACTGCGTGGCCCGACCGCCAGCGATCTAACTCGCGAAATCGCAAATCGAAAGCTGCTAAGTCGGTACGTTTCCGCCGAAGAACAAATCTTGCGTGAATCACGCAGCCCGGCCGAGCCGAGGCCGCCGCCGTGTTTGTTGCGTGTGCAATTTGCACGGACAGTGGCGTCGCTCGGTGGAATTCGATTACCATAATTCTCGCGAAAAAGGTCACATTTCAACGTCGGAGATCAGCGTGCGACGAACGTTCGATACCGTTCCTCGTATGTTCGAGTTTTTATCTGCTAAAGTACACCTTTTTTTTAACGCTAAACCCATCTCGCCGGTCGCGACGACCGATTCTACATTTTAAATTTCCGTTTTATTGAAAAAGTAGAGATATCCTCTGAGAAACGATCGAATCAATTTCTGAATTCGAGTATACGTTGTCCTTGTAAAAGGACAGGTCTAATTAAATTCAGTTTTGATGATCTTGTGACTTTTTGTAAAGCACGTTTTTTCAGTTTTAGCATTAACGAAGTCGCTGTAACTGAATTGTGATCGAGAGTAAATTTAGTAGTAAAATTAGCAGTAAATTCAGCAGTTCGCAATCACTTCTGTATTATTTTTTTAGGAAATTTGGACTTCGGAAATCTTTTGGTTTTAGATCTAATTTTAACAGCAACTTTTGAAGTGCTCCTGAGTCATTTTCAATTGCTGCTGCGATATCCAATTTCCATTAATTTTCATCGATCTTCTAATAAAATCGTCAAGTTTTATCCTTGTTCTTCCGTGGACTGGCTTCATCCTAGAATCATTTTTTTCAGGGTTCTCTAACGTTTAAAAGGTAGGTAATTTTTTAATAAACGCTTTTCAATAAAGTGCACAACTAGATCGTCGTTGTACATGCTAAATAAAAATCGTCCAGCTCGATTGCAACGAACAAGATCTAATTACGACTTCAATTTTCAGTTTCTCCTACATGTTCTCTGCTTTACATTCCACCCACTCGCTTCTGCCACGAACACACGACTTCCTAGCTGCATACAAGAAGGCAATGCTTTATATACGCTGTGTCAAATTTACATCGATGGAGATCGGCTGACTTTTTCGTTTCACGTGCGATGCGCGGGACAAAATCGATGTGCCGGATGATGAGAGAGAAAGAGAGAGAGAGAGAGAGAGAGAGATTACAGGGGTTGAAATTTCCCCTTCCACGGGGTGGGACAACAGCGCCGGCGTCCATGAATCGTGGAGCTGGCCAGCAGAGAATGTGTTTGCTCTCTAGCTCCATACACCTGTGAAGTGCGTCGGCCTAGAACAGAGGTTCTCAATCCTCTCTGACCAGCGACCCCCTTTCGAAACACGCATCTAGCACCTCGATGATCGTTCCTCGAACGAACCTCAATTTACGGGGAAATGAATAAATCACGCGTTAACCTAGACCCTATCCGTAACCGATTTTTTTTTCCAACGACACTTTCGTGCTCGCGAACGCGTTATTATCTCATGGCTGAGCCCTTCGTGTGTCGCGCGGGATAGAACGCGATTACATAAAACGACTCATGAATAAACTAGAATTAACCTGAATCGTTTACCTTGATTATCCTGTGCAAACACGGTGTACAGAAAATGAAATGATTTCAATTATTTCGCCCTGAGTTTCTCGAGCTGGCGCGCGTTTTACAGGGTTGTTTAATTGTTGCGACTTGAGATTTGTATTTATTTGACACGCTATGCGCGCGGGAAATGTATTAATACCTTTTCGAAAAATTGAATTCTTTTCAATTTTCTTTAGTTTTATATTTATAAGAATCTCTTCTATATTTATGTAGAATGTAATATAAATACATTATATTATATATTTATATATTATTATTATATATTATATATATTATATAGAATATAATATATTTATATTATATTCTATATAAATATAGAAGATTCTTATAAATATATATATATATATTCTATATAATATAAATATATATTATTATTCTAATACTTTAGAAAGTTCTATATTTATATTAGTTCTATATTTCAAAGAATCCCTCTGCGAAATCCGAAAAATCCTTGTATCAGACATACATACTTGTCATCAAAATCTTGTTGTCACTTTCGCAAATATTAAATGTTCTTTCAATTGAAAAGAATTAAACTGTATAACAAAATATTGACACATCTGCTACACATAGCGTGTTAATGGAATAAATAAGCGAATAAATCAATGTAAAGGACTTCGATAGCATTAAAATAATATTCTAATGCTGGTCAAAAAATTTCACAATTTTTCTCTTAATTGTCCTAATTTGCCTGGAGGAATCCAGCCAGCCATAAATCTACAAAATCTATAAAATCATTATTAATATATAATATACAATTTACAATTACTGAAACACATTCACCGAATAACGTTTTCCCAATTGTCTTAATTTTCCTGGCGGAATCCAGCCAGCCGTAAATCTACAAAATCTACAAAATCATTATTAATATATAATATACAATTTACAATTACTGAAACACATTCACCGAATAACGTTTTCCCAATTGTCTTAATTTTCCTGGCGGAATCCAGCCAGCCGTAAATCTACAAAATCTACAAAATCATTATTAATATATAATATACAATTTACAATTACTGAAACACATTCACCGAATAACCTTGACACATCCGAGCACACCTGTTTTCTCTAAATGTTCCCAAAAATAAAGAACACAATTTTTCACGAACATCCAAAACTGTCGCGCAGAGCCAACCGGGACCTTGTCCTGCTATAAATAAAACCCTTGTCCGAAGGTGAGCCTTGTAACGGGGACAACGAAGCGCCGTAATACCGTAGTTTTCCGATAATAGGGTGTCCAGGTGAATGACAATGGGCGTTGTGTCTCGCCTCGAAAAGTAGACCAAGGCGTCCGTCCGGCTACGATAACTATCATTTATTAATCCCCGGAGATGAATCGACCGATTCACGGCTGTCGGACCGGGGTCGTTGGCGACCCGGCTGGGAACCTCTGTCCTCCAGTATGTGTCGGCGGTGTGCCGGCGGTGTCTGCGCGTTATTGCTCAACCAGACTCGTCTCTCAGTGCGAGAAAGACGTTCAGACGGTTCGGGCGTCCTGATCCGTGCACTCCGGCCTGGTCCTACCATCTCCTCGGTTGCCCGACGAATCTTCGCGCACGGTAATCACCGATCCTCCATTTCATCTGTTCACACCTGTGTGCTCACCTCCGGACCTCGTTTCGAAAGCGGCCGCATCCGGTTCCGATCCTGCGCGACGCAGTTCCCCGAGCGGCGACGCTCGTCAGCCGAACTCCAGGCCGAATTATTCGTTGTCGTCCGATCTTCACGCTGGTTAGTGGATAGAAAGGATTCGTGCTCGTGTGATTCGCAAGTGTGACAGTGCGGCCGCAGCATCCGTAGACGTAAAGGACGGCCTGGCGTATAGCACGCCGGTTCGCGTTCCAACGAGAGCTGACGCATTCCGGAAACGGGGAATTTGCGTTTCGCGCCTGTGACATCGCGGCGAGCCGCGATTTTTGCTCGCCGGGGATCGCGCTGAAATAACACGGCCTTTTGTCGCGCCGATGTCCACGGGTTTCCTGCTTCGAAGTTCGTTGAGGATCGCGGGATTTTTCGAAATCGAAGTCGAAATCGAGATTTCGTCGAACCGGGTATTCGTTTTAATCCTCGGCCGGTTTTGAACTGTTTGCGAGATCGCGACGCTGTTGTAGCGATTCGAGAACAGCTCGTTTCGAAAGAAGTGTCGGTTCTAGAGCCGTCAAAGCTGCGACATCAAAATTGATCTCTGCTCCGAATGGTTTTAATATGTTGAACATGACGCGACGTTCGTAAGTTCGATGTATCACAATTGCTCTATCTATTTCTGTCACAAATCTAATCATTTTTGCTCGAATTCTCATACGGAACGTGCAAAAACTGTTTCATCTCAATCTTCGTTCAACCGGTTAGCTGTTAATTAAGTTTTTATGTGATGTATATTTTATTTTGTTATTATTATCTATTATTATTTCTATCATTATTATTATCTGTTATTATTTTTATTATTATTATCTATTACTATTTTTATTATTATTACTTACTATTTTATTATTGTTATCTATTATTACTTTATTTTTACTATTTATTATTATTATTATTATTTATATATTATTTTTAATATATACAGTGATTCGATTCGAAAATACGTAGCGTAAATTGAAGATTTGGGAGTCCCAGGAATAATTTATGTTAGCGTGCACTGTAATTATATATATACTGTATTCGTCTAATTTTCTTCACATTTCATTTAAATGCATCAATTTCATAAAACATATAACTTAATAAAGAATGCCAAAGCATGCCTTTTATATATAACAGAAAATACTGCCATTTCTTCGCGACGACGAGTATACTCGTCGAGAACAGCTGACCGGTTAAACTAAGACCACTCAAATGTTCACCTTTGCCAAGGATTAAATGAATGATCGTTTAAACCATAGAGGATTTGAGACGTGATCGACGGCGGCGCGGTGCTCGAAGCAAGGATTCGACACGGCGAGTTTATTTGTAACGCGTGCTTTCTATCGTCGCCAACGTGGTCTCGGCGCGTTCTCCTGTCGCGATTAGCATGCCGGCACGCGGAACGTTCGCATAACAGATTTTGTGCACGTTGCGCCGCCGCTACTCTTACGAAATCGAAACGCCGAAGGAAGTGTTAACCAGGAAGCGCGGGTATCAAATTCGTGAAACCGAGCCGCGATATATGTATAACGCTTCTCGATGCGTGATCCAGCCGAATATTGCTGTGCTCAGTGGCATAGACTCGTTGACCGACTTTTCCACGGGCTACACGTCGTAACCTCCTACATGCTTGTACAGGGTGTCCCTGGACGTTTTCACTCGCCGTGCCATTTTTTTCTTCTTCTCTCGCCTGGACGATTCGAACGCTTCGGCGGAAAAACTGGACGATTCGAAATTCTCAGGTCAATTCTCTGAACGATTCTCTTTAAACAAAGTCGCCGAACAAGTTCGGGAATATCTTCTGGATGGATCAGAGAAAATTTGACCAGCTCGTTTCGAGTATTCTTCATTGATTCGGCTTCATTTTTCAGTCCGATCTGCCACGAGGTGTTCCCTCGACCCTGGATTGGGAATTCGATGGTGCCGTTGACAAATTTTATATGTGATTTTAAATGTTTTCGAGTTGTGATAGAACCTGTAATTAAGTAGAGAGGATATTCCAATTTCCATAAATTGGATATTTCCAATTTCCATTGAATTCCATATTTCCATTAATATTCTTCTACGTAAATTTCTCCTGTAACTTAATTGCCGCTGTTCGGTGTATTTTTATCGATTATTAATCGAGTGGTTCGGAATCACAGTGGCGTAAATCTTTGTGAGAAACAAGGAGTTTTATTGTTGACAAAACCAAATTTATCGTTGAGTTAATTTAGAGCAATTTTATCATTTATATCACTTGTCACTTTGACATTTTGGCATGTGTAGGTTGTTTATAAATTTAGCATTTATTTTATTTAGTATCTGTAAACACTACAGATCGAAAGCACAGCATTTCAGTATAAAGCACAGTATGTAAATACCACAGCAATGTTTAGAAAGTGTTAGCTAAATATCGGGACACTATCGAGCCGTAACTTATCGGTCGATCGGCCCTCGCCGTTGATTCATTTGGATTCATTGATTTCCCTTTAAATTGGCACGGTTCTCTGTAGTAAACCCGGCGGCCGATAACCGCCGTTTAGAAAGTGTCAACGAAATATCG